ACAGGTGTTCTAGTAAGATAATTATCATCTTTGCTAAATTAGTCAAGTATTTTCTCAATGTAATGAAATTGTGACAAAGCATAACCTTCTGATGTTTTGGTAATTTTCATACCAAGAATTACATCAGCAATCCCTATGTCTTTCATGTCAAAATGTTTATTCAACAGTTTCTTAGTAGTTTTAATCATGTCATTATTATTACCTATGATGAGCATATCATCCACATAAAGACATATTATTACATAACCTTTGTTTGTGTTTATAATATAAACACATTTGTCACATTCATTAATTTTAAATCCATTTGACATCATTGCTTTGTCAAATTTTTCATGCTATTATTTTGGCACTTGTTTTAAACCATATAATAATTTAACCAATTTACACACTTTCTTTTCTTTTCCTGAAACAAAAAATCCTTCTGGTTATTCCATGTAAATTTCTTCATCTAACTCACTATTTAAGAAAGCGGTTTTCACATCCATTTGATGAATTTTTAAATTGTATAGAGATGCAATGGCAATTAACATTCTAATGGCTGTTATTCTAGTAACTGGTGAGTATGTGTCAAAATAATCAAGACCTTTTTTTTTTTTATCTAAAACCTTTGACTACAAGTCTTACCTTATATTTGTTAATTGATCCATTCGCTTTCATTTTTCTTTTGAAAATCCAGTTGTACCCAAGAGGTTTATAACATGGTGGCAAATCCACCAATTTCCAAGTGTGATTTTACAGGTGGATTCAACTTCGCTGTTTACAGCTTATTTCCATAAAGGAGCCTCAGGATTGAACATAGTTTCTTTAAGAGTTAAAGACTCATTTTCTAACAAAAATATTAGAAAATCTGGACCAAAAGATTTTGAGGTTCTAGCACGTTTACTACGCCTAGGTTCCTCTTACTCATTTTGATCTACCTCTTACTCTTGTTTTTTATCATGACTAGTAATAGTATCATAAGATCTTTTATTAGTACTAGTCTCTTGTTTAGTTTTATTTGGAAACATATGTTTAAAAAAAGACGCATTCCGATATTCAATAATAGTGTTTACATGCATTTCGGAATGTTCTGATTTATGAATCAAAAATCGATATGCATTACTATTCATGGCATAACCAATGAAAATGCAATCAACAGTTTTAGGACTTATCTTAGTCTTTTTAGGACTAAGAATAGCCACTTTAGCCAAAGATCTCCACACTTTTAAATATTTGTAGGATAGTACTCTCTCATGCTACATTTCATAAGATGTTTGATTCACTTTCTTTCGTGGTACTTTATTAAGTATATAATTAGCAAAAAGTATTGCTTCCCCCTACAAGTTCTAAGATAATCCAGAACATATTAATATGTCATTCATCATTTCTTTTAAAGTCCTATTTTTTCTTTCAGTAATTCCATTTTGCTGAGGTGAGTAAGGAGCGGTGGTTTGATGAATTATTCCATGTTCTTTACAAAATTCACCAAAAGGTGATTAATATTCACCACCTCTATCACTTCTAAGTTTCTTAATTTTCTTACCAAGTTGATTTTCAACTTCATTTTTACATTGAATGAAAGTTTCCAAAGTTTCATCCTTGATTTGAATTAAATAAATATGACTATATCTAGTATAGTCATCTGTAAAAGTGATAAAATACTTTTTCCTACCTCTAGTTTGAATTGATTTAAAATCACAAATGTCGTTATGAATTAATTTAAGTGGTTCCGTACTTCTTTCAATTATATAAAAATGAGATTTTGATAATTTTGCCTCAACACAAATTTCACATTTATGATTTAAATCAATGTCAAATTTAGGTAAACATTCCATATTAATTAATCTACGCAAAGATCCATAATTAACATATCCAAGTCTACCATGCCATAAATTTGAAGACTCAAGCAAGTAAGAAGAAGATGTATTTTTATTAATAACAGAGAGTACAACAGTCATTACATTTATTTTGAAAAGGCCATCAGACATGTAACATTTTCCTACATACATCCCGTTTTTGGTAAGTACAAACTTGTCACTTTCAAAAACTAGCCTAAACTCATTTTTACTCAACAAAGATCCGAAAATAAGGTTCTTGTGAATGTCTAGTACATGCAGCACATTGTTGAGAGTGAGTTCATTTCCAAAGGTCATCTTCAGAATAATCTTTTCTTATCCTTCAACTTTAAAAGTTGAGGAGTTGCCCATAAAAAGTTGTTCACCATTGTCTACTATAGAATAAGATGTGAACATCTTTTTGTCGGCACAGATGTGATGAGTAGCACCAATATCCACCCACCATTCTTTAGGATTTTGAACAAGGTTTGCCTCGGAAACAACTGCAGAAAGATTTATGTCATCTATACCATTAGAAATTTTGTCTACTTCAATCATATTGATTTGAGCAGGTTTCTTGCTTGTTTTTCTTTTACTTTTGCCTTTGCTACGGTAATTTTTGGCTCAATGTCCCTTTTTGTCACAGATGTAACATTTGCCATTAAACTTGTACTTTTTAATTTCCCCTCCTTTAGAGCCTTGTGAGGAACTTTCTCAAAAAAACTTTCGTTTCTTTGCTTTTGGAGCATGTTCTACCATATTTGCCTTAGACTCCATTGGATGCTTACCAGCTCACTTTTCAGAATTGCAGTTGCTCTCTTTAATCCTTAAACGCACAATCAATTCTTCCAAAGTCATTTTTTTGCGGTTGTGTTTAAGATAGTTTTTGAATTCCTTATAGCCTGGTGGCAATTTTTCAATTAAGCTAGAAACTTGGAAGAATTCACTAATAGACAAGCCTTCTGCATGAATGTCACATAGAATGAGTTGGAGATTTTGAACTTGACTGATTATAGTCTTAGAATCAACTATCACAAAGTCCAAGAATTTGCCAACCACAAATTTCTTTGAATCAACATCTTCTGTTTTATACTTTTTTTCCAAAGACTCCCAAAGTTCCTTTGTCGTTTTAATAGGACTGTAAACGTTATACAATATGTTGTCAAGTTCGTTCAAGATGTAGTTTCGGCAAAGAAAATCAGCATGTTTCCAGGCGTAGACCGCAACAACCACTTGTCGGTCAGTTTCATCCTCGTTCAAAGTAGGAGCATCTTCACAGAAAAAACAAGCCAGGTTCAGAGTTGTAAGATAGAATAACATTTTTTGTTGCCATATTTTAAAATAAGTTCCTGAGAACTTCTTTAGCTTCTCACCGTGATTGACTAGCATAGTCACAACAGGAGGAAGAGTTGGCGTAATTGCAGCCACCACACTCGTACTTGTTTGAGCATTAGTTTGTCCACTTTTAGTAGCCATGAATTCTAAATTATAAAACAAAATTAGAATTAGAATTTTAAACTACACAGAAAATTTAAACCAAAACCATAGAATTAAATTCTGTAAAAAAAAAAAAAATTGTAACTTTTATTTTCAGTTAATTTAAAAATAAAATAAAATTTTATTTAAACAAATTAATTCCACATAGGAAAATATTTCTGTAACACTTCAAAAATTAAAATAATGAAAAAAGAATTTTAATTAATGAACACTGAGAAATTATTTTTAAAAATCAAAATTAATTTCTAACCAACTTCATAAATAAATATTCTGAATTGTTAATGACACCAGTATATTACTACTAGTTGTCAAAGAAAATAAACAGTATATTACTATTATCTATCAAACAGTATATTACTACTATTTGTTTTTTCAATCAGAATATTATTTTGTAAAATTACAGAAAATAATTTCTGTAACAGAAGAAAGAGAAAAGGAAACAAACAAAAAATTCTGTATAAACAGAATAATTTGAATCAGTCTTAAGATTATTGGAACAATCTTCTGTGTAAAATAAATAACTTGAAACATATCAAATAAATAAAAATAAATTACTTACAGAATTTTATTTTACCGAAATGAATAAATATTTAAAAGATCAAGTCGAGTGTATGACAATTTGTCCTTAAGACAGATTCGCCCCGCTACGGTGCTTACGGATGAAAGACGTCTATCTCCCAAAATACAATAATCTTCACAAATTATAGTAGCACTCCAAACAATTTGTACTTCGAACCAAACACGTGTTCTATACTCTTTTAATTTTTTCCTAAAAACTAATATGAAGAGAATTTAAGCAAAGGATCAAAACAGGGAGGGAACCACGAAAATTTTAGATTTTTCTGGATGTTTGTGATTGTGAAAAACCTGCTGGAAAGTCTTCTATTTATAGGACAAATGGTGACTGTTCAGATCTATCCGAACAAATATGAAAGAAATGAGCAAGTGCAGTTCAAAATTTGAACAAATACAAATTGTTTTAAACAGATAACTGCTGCAGTTTTAAATCTGTGTAACTACTGACAGTTTAAAGCAGTTAATCTGTTGGAAATTTCAGACTGGAGGAGGCACACATTTGGACAGAAAATTTGAATTCAAATTTGGCACAAAATTTGAATTAATTTCACTCAAAAAAATTAATTTTCCTGCAAGAATTTTTTTTTGGAAAAATTCAAAATAAATTTCATCCAAAAATTAAAGTTAGAACTCACCTGACCCACACTCACACACGGCACGACTTGGCCGACCGACTGGCGGCGGTGTGCGTGTGGTGGTTTGAGTCAATGTTCACTTTGTTCATAACTCCTCCCTTCTACAAACTTGGGGTGCCCCTTAAGGCCCAACCCAGGTGTTGACACGTAGAACTTATATACACACATAAGTTCTCTTAAATTTCCAATATGGGACAAACCTTATAAGGAAACCCACATTTAATTCTTTAATTGTCCATTCCACGAACCCAAAAACGATGTCAATTTTCCATTCATTCATAAATGGTTTTGACGAACCATCTTCACCGTGTGACTTGCCATGCGGTAAGAAACACGTCACTTCTTTGAACCCATTCCAAAATATGTGTGGGACCCACTCAATTTTGGGCTCAAAATTTGTCCAAAATAAGCCTATAAAAACCATAATTTTCCAACAATCATGATACCAACAAGGCAAACATTATACGACAACATGAAATATTCCATCTCAGTCATAAAGATTCCATACCAGCATTTAATTGATCACCATATCATAAAAAGAATCACATGAATGGTTAAAACTAAATCAGTCTATGGCAATAAACATACTTGCACTACAACCAAATTTGCATTAACATTGACATTAATCACTGCAAATTACCAAGCAAATCTCTTTTCTTATTTTTTGCTTCTTGTGAATGGCACTTGGCTATGCCTCAATTTGCTGCTAAGTAGTAGCTGACAACAAGATTGATAAAGTGCAAAGACTGCAGTTTTATATCACAACTTGATCATTTCTCCATCTTCTCATATCCTCCTATATGAATAAACAAAAATGATGTCAAAACAAATATGTAATAGTGAAAACATGACTTTTTTAATCTGGCTTGCCTTTGTTTCTTCAAGCAAAACCCAGTAGTTTGTCAATCCAAATATATAAGAACAATGTGAGGCAAATTAATCTAGAGTAAAGAAGGCAAGCAAACTTTAGGTAGAACGGACACTTCCGAGGACGAGCTACATCCATTTAGATACATTTTAATGTCAAGCTATAGATCCATGTGCCTATCATAAGATTCTAGCCGAGTGTAGCAACATCTTACGTGTTTGTGATCCCAAATTCAAGTACTTTTTGAATTCATGTTTTGAAAACACCACTTTGAACTTGAAGCTGTGTGTGAAAAACACGACTTCGAACCAAGTCATGGGTTTATTTCATGACTTCAATGGAGCGCAATGAAGCCACAGCTTCAGTCTCCTCCAACACTATGCAAGAAGATTCTCAATTTAGTCTCTCTTTTTTGAACCAAGTTGACATAAAATACTCTCTATGCAAAAACGCCACCACCATTTCTCAGTCTCTTCCTCTCCCTAAATACAAGCATAAACAATATTATATGTATATATATGTAACAGCCAACTAACCCACTATTATCACGATGTAATCAGCAACTCCAATTCTCTCATAAAAAATTGTCTGCTTTCTTGTCTTGTAATGGGAAATACATCATGAATGAAACCAAAGCAGCAGGGAAATCAACAGATATGAAAGTGATAGCTTCATTGTCTCTCTCAAAACTCTCTTTCTCTGGGTTCCTTGTATTAAAATTTCATTTACGAATTACTAAAATTTTACATTATCCATTTACTAAGTTTTCCAGTATTGTTTGCCCAATAAATATAATAAATATGTAAAAGACTCTCAATTGGCTCCATAATACTATCCATCCATCACCCCTATAAGGAAAAGCCAATACAAAATATAGTTTTCTGAATATCACCACTTCACTGAAGTGGTATATGAATGCACGATTTCAATCTCTAATTTGGTCTAAAATCATGTTTTGAAAACACGACTTAAAAAATGACTTGGGTTTCGTAAATAAGTTCAACACAACTTGAGTTTGGAAAATCTGATTTAACATGGCTTGGGTTTGGTAAAAAAAAAAATCAAAATTGTTTTTTTTTTTTTTTTATCAACCAAAAAAAAACAAAATGATAGTTCTGTATGTTTGCCATCCAAATATGAGGGCTCCTATTACATCAGGACATATCAAGTGAGAATTTAAATATGTACATGTCTTAGGTTAGAGGCAGTTGAGCATACGACATATGAAGTGAAGATTTTAAGGGTGAGTTTTGAAAGGGCAAAAGAAGGAACGAAAAACAGAAGATTTAACGGTGTGTTTTGAAAGGGCCAAAGAAGGAACGAGAAACAGAAAAACACCGAGGCAAGCTGAGAAGGGTTTAGTAAACTAAAGGAAAGAATATTGAAGAATATCAATGTAATTACGAATGATCAAATTCAAATGTGCTTAAAGAAAGTTCTGTCACAATGAATAGTCATCCCAAGAAGGTTACAAGAGTATGGTGCAAGATTAGTTGGCTATTTTCAGAACCTGGACAGTGCAGTGTTCTGTAATCACTGAGCATGATCAAAGAATTAAGACCACTAGCCTCCATATAAGCCATAATCCCAAAAACTGCCCATCCACGAAATATAAATCAGTAACACAAATATATCATGAAAACTGGTCTACAAGAATAATAGAATTGACTGCTCAATAAAAATGTAAGACAGAAGAAAGACACCGAAAATAATACTGCAAGCTTACGATGATAAATACAGATTAGTTGAGTATTTCATCCAAAAATATTACCATTTGGATATCCTGAGGACTCAAGTTAATCACCATCATATGCAATCAATAAATAGGACGCATAATTCAAGATAACTGAGAGTAGACATACATAGAAATGAAACATCATCTGAATGTTTATCTAATCCAACAAAGGTGCACCAAATCTATGAAAAATATAAACTGAGCGAATCCACAACAGCCTAATGCTGCAGGGTTTGAAAAATGACAGACAATCCTGATAAAATTATCTGTCCAAGTTTCAGATAATCGTAAAGGGAGTCAAATTTCAGATTTAGTTGTGGCAGAAGCTAAAGTCAACAAAATTTGGTTTCTGGGATATGAAACAAAATTTTGGTAAAAACGAAACATGATCCATTTTTGTACTTCTTGGCCTATTTTATAACTTAGGTGGCTCTTGTTTCATCTGCTTGGTGTTGGCAGCTTTTATTGCCTGAATAACTCTATGTTTGCAGTAGTAACCTAACCTAACCAAACCAAACCAAACCAAGCTAAGCCTTGTGTACCAATCAATTGGAGTTGGCTACATGAATACTTTTTCACCATTCCCCGCTATATGCTCAGTTCTATGTTTTTAGCAGCATCAGGGTAAAATTGAAGCAAGCAAGGGTATCATATAAGAGAAATATATTAAGAGTGTCTCCAATGCTTACTCTTTTCTTTTGATGAAAAAAGTCCCATCAAATTGAGGATGCTTGGAGAGTTTGATCAAATTTGTAGGTGACCGTTGGGCTGGACATCTACTTGGATGTCCTCCCGGACTTGCAAAATTGTCCTGCAGGTTGTGGTCAATTTACACCAAACCAGTTGACTGGCCGGACATCTGCTTGGTCGTCCTTCCGGTCGACCGGTGCTTTGATGAAAATTCAAAATTCTCCACTGGAACGTGTGATACCAAATGAAGTTTTTACTGAAATTTGATTGAAAAAAGAGAGTAAACGTTGGAGATGCTCTAACTCATCTTCACTGGACACTTGTCTACTTATGATTTGAATGTATTTTGGGGGCTTTGGAGGTACAAGGAAAGCAAAAGTGATGTGGTAATGTGTTGTATTCTCAGGTCAATTGGTTGGAAAGGAATGCAAGTATCTTTGAAGACAAGTTTGATGACACGGAGTCTTTGTGGGATAAAGTGTCCTTTGGCATCGCCTTGGGCTTCCATTATGACTCCTTTTGAAGGGATTCCGCTTCTCGTTCTTCTTTTCTTTTCTTTTCTTTTCTTTTCTTTTCTTTTCCTTTTTTTTTTTTTTTATTTGTCAAAATTGGAAAGTAATTTGTGATGTTTAAATTGTATCTTTGTTTGGTTTTTCTTCTTTTTAAGTGGGCATCTTGTCCTCCCTTTATATTTTTATTTTATTTTAATGAAATTGTCTTTCATTGCCGACCAAAAAAAGTAAAATAATTGAATGATCAAATAAATACCATGCAGTAAACCATAATTGGATTGAACCTCCCTCAACTCAAGTAGCTTCACAAGCTCACAATCCCAATGTCGAGGGCTCAAGGCTTGGTAGATGAGGGTGAAAGGAAAAGACGAGTAAAAGAGGCATTGATGGAGGCCATCAGTGTCAGAGGGAGAGGGAGACTAGGCAATCCTTTGTTGGTGTTGGAACGTGGGCCTCGACGACGACTGCTATTTTTAGGGCCACGGTCATATGAGATACAGGATATTGGTGCGGATGACAAAGATCGACGTAGGGTGTCAGTGGTGGAGCGTGGACAGGGTAGACGCAATGAGATAGTTCTGTATGGGGCTGAGATATGATGGTTGGTAGCACGATTACGGCAGGCGTCGGTGTTAGTGTCAGCATCGGCAGAGGCGTCAAAGGAGTGTGGTTTGTTTTTGGGTCGCATGTCAGGCGGAAGCCGAAGTGTGGCAACTTGGCTGAGGCTTGAGCAAGATGGACAAGTGATGCAGGTGGTCATGTCGACGAGGCAACATCGTCAACAGATGTTCATTCCTACGGCGGATGAAGGCTGGGAAGGTCTTGCTTTGGTGCTTGAGGGTTTCGATCCAAGTTGGAAGTGGATGCACCGTCATCAATCTTGGTGGTCGTGGGGGTAAGTTTCGGAAGTGGCTGCCGAAGGTGAGGAGAATGCACGAGATTCATGAAGCAAGATTTTGGGCGACGATCGCGAACCTACTTTAATCGGTCAACGGGTGGTAGTTTTGGGCAGAGGAGAGTGGGCCTTGGTAAGTCATTTGGGCCTGGGTTTTAGGGGCTAAGACAGGCTAAGCAGACTTCTCTGGGTCCTACGTTGTTGGGCCAAAATTTAAGTTGTGGGTGGCTAAATGGACTGGGCCATTCACGAAATAATGGCTTTGGGCAGGCCAGGCCAGGCCATCTGGGCCAGGTAGGCGTCCCATTCGTCGATGGAGCCATCGGGTTTTTGACAGATCTACAGGGCCACCAAGTTTGGACCCAAGTCTTTGACCCAGGGCAGAGGGAGGTCCGACTCGTCAAAATGTTGTAGCAAACGTGAACCCATCTGTTCGACGAGTTTTCGAGTCTTTATCTGGAGCATTTAGGAGTGTAGCAAGGCGACTGCGCAATTCGCCAGGAGGGAGACAGTTCGATAGACTTTTATAACTAAGAGCGTCAACTGACGGAACACATGAATAGATGTATCGAATCTTCAGTTGTTCGAGATGAGGGGGTGCGGCGAGATGGATTTGATCATTTTGTGATGAGAGATGCTGATGTTTGTCGGGAGCTTCCAGAGGCGCCGATAGGTGTGGCTGCGGCAGAGGCGTCAGTTCCTATGATAGAGTCTCAAGATAGTGCGTCTTGGGCCGTGGTTCTGTTGTGGAAGGCACACGATGCGGCTGGTGTGCAATTGCAAGTGTCAGAAAGGTGGAAGGATTTGGTGGAAGGTACAGATGATGGTCTGGGTATGTTAGGGGATGAGGAGGTTGCCAGTCCTAGTCTTCTTCAGCTACTTGCTGTGTTTCATGAGGGGATGGGCGGGGGTAGGCCTCTTGATGGAGACGGTTTTGGGGCTTCAGAACCTTCAGCTTCAGAGGTTTCGAATTGGGTTTTGGAAAGAATTAGTGAGGTCAATCAGTTGTTAGGGATTTCTTTTGAGGGGCATGAGGCGGAGGCTATGAGATTATTCTCAGCAGCAGAGATGTCTTGGCGCAGTGGGGTTTCGTCAACGGAAGTGGTTCGAAGTGGGGCTCCTTGTCAGAAGGGGGAAAGGAAGTTCCGTAATTTGGAGTGTTCTATTAATTATGATAGTCATGTGGGGGAGCCTGGGAAGAAAGGGAGGCATGGGAGGGAGAAGCAACTTTTGTTGAAATGAGACTAAAGATTTTATCTTAGAATGTGGGTGGTTTGAATGGCAGGGGGAAGAGTGTGGCGGTGGGATCATTGCTGAGAGGTGTGAAAGCAGATGTAGTTTGTCTTCAGGAGCCCAAAAGGGAGTGTCTAGGTAGGGAGGTTATCAGGGAAATTTGGGGTGGCCGGTGTATTGATTGGGTGTACCTTCCGGCGTCAAGTGTGGCAGGGGGACTTCTTATATGTTGGGATAGTAGGGTGGTGGTGAGAGAAGAGACAAAAGTTGGGACTTTTTCAATGTCTTGTTTGTTCAGATGTGTGGCGGATGGTTTCCGTTGAGTGTTTACAGGTGTGTATGGCTCGGTGTGAGGAGGGGCGGGGAGAGGTGGATGTTTCTGGAGGAGTAAGAGTATGTTGCATTTCGGTGGGAGTTATCGCGGTGTGTAGAGGGGGACTTTAATATGGTGAGATGGTCAGGGGAAAGGTTTCGAGGGGGTCGGATATCGGGTGTGATGCAGACTTTTTCTGATTTGGTCAACAAGTTGCATTTGATGGATTTGCCTTTACAAGGAGGGGACTATATAATCTAATCCGTCGCCATCACATTTTGGTTAATTGGTATTGCATGTGTTGTGCGGATGCGCCATTTGCTGCTCTATTGCCCATTTGCTTCTTGTTTGTGAGTGCTTGTTTTCTCTATGTTTGGTGTGGTTTGGGTTCAGTCGAGGCAGGTCATGGATGTGTTCCACTGTTGGGGGGGTGGTCGAGTTGGGAAGCGGCGGCGGAAGGCTTGGTCGATAGTGCCTTTGTGTTTGATGTGGTCGGTTTGGTTGGAACGGAATCGTAGGATTTTTCAAGGTAGTGCTCAATCTATTGCACGTTTAGAGGCTTGGTTTTTGGGTGTTTTGTACAACTGAGTGTCAGGAAGGGTGAATCCAAATTTATTTGTTCTCTTAGACTTTGTTGATGATATAGTTGGTTAGGCTCCCGTTTTGCGGGGTTTGATTTTGTATTCTTTTGGCATCTTCTTGATGCTGTGGAAATAAAATTTCATTTATCAAAAAAAAACCATAATTGGATTGAATTACAATTAACTGTAATATCCACATTTTAAGAAAACCTTGTTATAGGCAATAACTACGTTTAACTAGTAAGAAACTTGTGCCATAACCAACTCCTATAGACAGTGAGTCCAAAATCCTAAACCATCAACAAAACCATCACAATCCACTCAAGCAGATTCTCATTGCTTATTTACATGGTAAGTTGGTGATGCATAGGTTCAAACACCAAAAGATATTCACCTCAATTAACTAGAAGAAGGCCAAAACTGGCATCAATTGCCTGTTTGTCAAAGCAAAAATGGTTACAAGCTTAAGGAAAATTGCTGTTGGTGATTTCAATACATTGGTTACAAAACTGCTGGTATTGATAAAGATTGATTGATTCGTTGAATAACTCATACCAAATAACTTCGATCATATCATTAAAAAAAGATCATTGCATCTTTACACAAAAGAGTTCTAACAAAAACGATCTGTGTAGCTGACAAGTACAGAAGATATGTTTCGCTGAATAGCACGTGACCATCAAAAGACAGCTTTTATTAACCCCTGGAATACAGCAAAATGTAGCCCCATGCCTTCACTCAAATTTGTATTAAATTGAGAAATCATAATGTAGCTTTGAACCCCATTCAAGTTACAAATTCATGAAATTTGAATCACCCACACAATATGCTTTTGCCTAAAGTTATAACAAATAAGTAACGATCTTTCATGACTAATCCAGTTTTATCAAGTATTAAATCAACAAAGCATATGGCCTAACCTTGCAAATTCCTATATAACCGCAGTCCTTTGCCACACTTTAGCTTTCTCTGCGTCAATAATAGATTCCACCAACTTCACCGCGCTCTCAAGCTTCCCCTCTGCATTCACAACCACATAATCAAAATTCCTCAAATGCTTCACCTCCTCACGAGCCGTGGCAACCCTCACGAGCAACGTCTCTTTAGTCTCCGTCTTCCTCCCAATCAACCTCTTCACTAACGCCGACTCACTCTCCGCCACCAAGAAAATAAACACAGCAGAATTCCCAAGAATCCTCCTCAATGTAGCAGCCCCTTGAATATCCACCCTCAACACAATGTCGTGCCCTTTCGCCATAAATTCACGAATTTGCTGTTTCGGAATACCCTTATAATCCCCATACACCAATGCATACTCCAAAAGCTCATCTCTCTCCACCATTGACAAAAACTCTTCTTTGCTCACAAAAAAATAATCTTTCCCTTCCACTTCTCCAGGTCTTTTCGCCCGGCTCGTCGCCGTGACAACAAAATGAATTCCCTCTCTAACCTCCCTCAATCCCTTAATCACTGCATCTTTGCCAACCCCACTTGGGCCACTAATCACTATAATCAAAGGGTTCGGATTGGGGGCTAATGGGTTAGAACTGAATGATGAACCCAGTGAGGCTTCAAGTGCTCTGTACAACTCAGACTTGTCAGCAATCTCGACGTCCGGTATCGGCACGGTGGGCGGTCTCCGGGAATCACCCATTCTATAAATCGACGAAATTAACCGGTGGGTTGCTGAAATTGACGATTGAAAGGGCGATTTGAAGCAATTTCGGTTGAGAAATTGGGGTTTTGAGTGGAAAACAGATAACGGGTTGGTGAATTTTTGGGGGCAAATGCGAAGGTTTAGGTCGGATCGAGTGAGAGAGGTACAGAGCCTTCGAAAGAACATTGAAAAACCAAACAAATACGAGTGTTTTGTGTATATGCAAATTACTCTATATAGGTATAGATATATATATGGATGATGGGAAGATTCGAAAGAGGGCTAATTTGAGTAAGAATATGAATATGCTCGCTTTCTACTCAATCTGTGGGTGAGAATTGAAGCCAGAATACGAATATGGATATGAAGAGGTCCTTCATTCAATCATTCCTACGCAACCCCTTTGTGGGTACAGTAGAGATTCAACTGTTGCACCAAAAAATTAGAGAGATTTTTGCCGCCAATCTGTGAGACTTTAGGACTCTGGAACTGCTAATTTGGTACTAGTACGTAGTAGTGGATTCTTGACCTAGGGTTTTTTTTTTTTTTTTCAAACAGACAAGGCCTCGGGCTGGGTTTAGATCCGAGCCTAAACGGGCCGAGTCCATCCCATATTGTGGATGGATTTCGAGCCATCCACGGGCTAGAGGTTATTTTTACACTCCTAAACAAAACCTTGTTTGAAAATTTTAATTTTTAGTCAAAAACTCTGTTAAGTTGTCACATTATTTTATTTTATTTATTTATTTATTTACTTTTCTATATGATTTGGAGTATAATCTGAAGGAAAAAGCTGGAAGTAAAGTAAAGTAAAGAGGAAGTAAAGTATTAATATAGATGAGAAATGAATAATTAAAAAAATGTAAATGAGAGATTATAAAACTTAGATTGTAAAAGTTACTTAAAAGCGCCAAGGCCATTCTATAGAAATTTAATGAAAACTCCATTCGAAATATCTATGTAAAGTTGTGGTCTAATCCTTTTAAATATCTCAAGCCTTTTAGGTTTAAATATATTTCTGAGATATAAAAAATTGACAAACGATCAAAGATAAAAAATAAAATAAAATAAAATAAATCATGTCTATCGCCTCAAGTTAAAAAGTGAGTCTCCAGGAAATTAAATTGTGTTAAAGGCACATGTCAAACTCATGATTTCCTTAAAGATGGTAAAATGAAACCTAAGAAAGAAGTATTCTTCTCAAATATATCACTCAGATTAAGTCTCTGTTTGGCAAGTTAGTTTTCAGGCTTTTTTGGCTATTTTAGCCATAAAAAACAAAATAGACTATTTTAGCCATAACAAACAAAACATCACATCCAACTTATAATCATTACATTCTTCTCTCACAAAAAAAGTCAAAAAAGTCAAAAAGCCAAAAAGCCCTTCCCAAACCAAGCTTTTTAGCCCAGGCTAAAATAGCCAAAAAAGCCAAAAAGCCAAAAAGCCAACCTACTTCCCAAACCAAGCCTAAATGAGTCCGTCCTGTTGAATGGCAAGACCTAGGAGGTCACTCGAGTCTATTGGAAATGGTTATAAAATTCTGGATAAAATTAGAATTTTTTTCTAAGTTCGGTCTATTTTTTAGGTGGGCCCCGAATGTTGATTTACTCGGGTCATTGTGGTAACGCGTTCTATGCCACGTTGTGATTCACGTGGTATATTTGGTTGCTCAAAACCATTACCGAGTGAATGGGAAATTGAAGCCAAAGTATACTCCATGGAAATGGAGTTTTGGTGGAAATTCCTTAAGGTTGTAAATTGACTTGTCCCACATTGATTTGGTGGGAAGTTTTGAAAGGGTTTATAAGGCTTAGGGTGAGATACTTGGGGTGTGCCCCAAGGGGTACCCAAGTGTTTTAGAGGGAGAGGTTATGGGCAAAATGGGCTAGACCCATTAGACCCAAAAATCACCACGCACGCGCGCCGCCCAGTGCGTGGTGTGTGGTTGGGTTAGGCTTCTAATCTTTTTGGGCCAAAAACATTTGAATTTAATTTTATTTTTTATTAAAATAAAATTCATAATTCAAATTAAATTGGTTATCTAATTGAATTCAAATCAAATAGGACGAATCTGTCTTAAGGACACAGTGTCAAACACTGGACTTGATCAGAAAATAATTCGAAGAAATTAAATCAAGTAAGTTATTTAATTTATTTTCAGTGTTGTTTTTATTTATTTAAATCAGATTTTAATTTTGTTTTTGTAACAAAATAAAATCTGTTTTTATTTATTTATTTTTATTTCGAGTTTGATTTTTGTAATCAAACAAATTCTCTCATTTTCTTTATTTCTTTAAATTCTATTTGTTGTTGTGTACAAAATAGAATTAAATCTTTTAAATACAGTGAAGATTGTCCTACAGAGTCTTAGTGTGCGACTATAGTGCTAATGATATGAGGCCATGCTATAGCTCATATTGGAATGTTGAGAATTAAATGGCCTGATAACTAAGAGTAAAAGATCATCGAGTAGCGTCTCCAAGAATGACATTCAGAGGTTCTAAGAGGGAGTGCATGAAGAAATTACATTTCTTTTGCCTCGATCAAGAACATAAAGAAAAGAATATTTCATACATCCCATCACCATATTAATTGCTTGGCCTTCAGACAAGTCAAGGTGCCTACAAATAGCGCACACATTTTATAACATTTTATAACGCAATAACAAAAATAATGTTAGGTAAAAAGGGAGACTGTCATTTTCACCTCTTCAATACTAATCATTTAGTATTCTCATTTGGGACCTCCTTCACTATTCAGCTTAGCAGAGCAGCCAATGTGTTGCAATCTTTCTGTGTTTCTATTTATTAGACTCCATATGATTCATTTCTTGAAGGGTAGCCTCCAAGAATTGATCATTGCAAAGCCAGGTTGTGGGTAATTCTGTCTTTTCCACAGAATTCATTGCCACCCAGGAGCTGAAAACTTAACCATACCATGACTGATACAAAGACCCATAAACTACAATTCAACAAACAATCACATATCTGAGAATACTCAACAACTTTCTGTAAAAAAATACATTATAATTGATACAAAGTATGGTTCATAGAGCAAATTCATGTCTACAGCAAAAGTTACATGTTTCCCCACCCTACATTAGGAGTTCAAGTGGATCAAGAACAAAGGTCATAATTTTAAGTACAAAACAACATAGATGAGAAAGTTTACCAAGCTGACATTGTTAGGTTCTAATAAATTATTCAAAAAACGCATAAATCAGTTTTGCAAAGAATGGAAAGGAAACAGAAATAAGTAAATGGTGTCATTTCCACGTCTCCCCAGATCATATCTTCACCTCCTCAATCTTGTCATTGATTTGGATCACAGAATATCTATCATGGGCAGGAAAGTCTTACATGTTAGTCTTTTCGACATGTGTGTGTAAGCTAGCGCTGATTCAATCTCCACTCACATTTGATGAGTTTACAATTGGAGCCAACCAATTTTGGATGGGATGTGAATAGAGATCAGCACCACAACTTGAATATGGAAATCGGGCATGTGGGTCTGCCACAACTCACAAGAAAAACATTTGTAGGAATCAATACCATTGGCTTCCAGATCCACCTTGAGCGGCGGCTACTTTCCTTGGCATATACTGAGGCTTTGGCTGCAGACCGTTGGATCCTTCGACTCCATCTTCTCCACCCCTCTCATTTTTACAGGCTGAGTTTCTTCTTGCGTATGAAGAGCTAGAAACAGCATATTGAGTAGGAACAACTGGATTCCTAACCATCCTTCTCTGTTCGACAGTTTCTGCTGCGGCGGCAGCTGCTCCACAGTTGTTATACCGCAACACTGAGCTGACCACTTTCCCGGGCCTTGCAGCACCACCTGCTGTGAAGAGATGACAATGCAGCAATAACTAAGTCAAGAGATGACAATGCAGCATATTGTTTAAGGAGTCGGATTCTAAGAACTAGCAATAACTAAGTCAAGAGATGACAATGCAGCAGAACAATTATGCAAGTGCAATCATTTATATACTTTAAGGTACAGAGGCACCTATTTATGCAAGTACATGAGTTTTCATTTTTTGGTGGGGGAAGTATATATCTTGACAAGGGCGGGCGGGCCAGGCGTAGCTATCCTTGGTAACTTGGAGGTCATGGGTTCGAGTCACATAAATAGCCTCTCTGCATGCGGGGTAAGGTTGTGTACATCAATCCTCCCCTAGACCATGCTTAAGTGGGAGCTTCGTGCACTGGGTACGCCCTTTAGTATATATCTTGACAAACTAACAGTAAAAATGTATGTGAAGAAAAAACCTTGGATACTTGGGGGAACTTGGGGAGGCATTCTTGTCATAGGAATCCCGGAAGTCCTGTCCATGTGTGGCCTTTCAACCTCTTTGATGCAACATTTGGAGAGATCATTTGTGACTTCTGTTGAGTTCTGTGCAGAGTTATCTGAATATAATACACATGCCCTGGATTCAAATTCTCTTATCAGTGATGACATGAGATAATAAACAAAATCTTTAAGACATGTCGTGAAGAAAGTACAGATGCATGTCAAAGGCATTTGCTAAAGATGATACCTAGGTAATGAAGATGCATGTTGCCTCTCAGGTGGAGCAGCAGTTCCACCATTTCCGTAGTGCTCCTCAAGGTAAGCAAATTGCTTCTTGAATTGGTCAACAGCACTGTAAAAAAAAAAAAGAGAGATAAGATTCGATTAATTCTCTCACTCCAAACGAAAACAAAAGACATGCTTTGCTGGTAAACAAGGATCTCACCCAAAAACAGAAAGAAAAAAAAGAAAGAAAGAAATTGTTTTGGGTCTTTTTAAAGGTTCCTTAAAATGAGGTGTTTCAATACCTTACTTTCCTAGGAAGAGAGAGAGAGAGAGAACCTTGAAAAAAAAATTAAAAAAAAAAAACCACTTCCAGACATGTCAAGAAATTTATCTCATGACTTATGGTAAAGCAGCAAATAACTTGCTCAAAAGTGCAGCTAGGGATCAGAGGGTCATCAGTCTAATTCGTTCTATATCATGTAAAAAACTTGGCAGTTTGGCTATTATCACTTTTAAATATTTACTCTTCATTTGAACCAAAATAGGCACTAACATTAACGACACAATTTTTCAGGGTTCATAGGTTGCAAGTAAGTGGAATAGCATGCAATATATATCTTTCCCGTTTAGTCTCTTAAGAAAAAGGAAGAGCAATGGAAAGGGCAGGGGGTGTCAAGTGTCAACCTTATGCTTCAAAGTAAAAACCAGCCAGGGAGGCATTGCGGGAAAAAAAAAGAACAAAAAAAAAGAAAAAAAAAAGGATTTCAACCGACCATTTATATATTTTAATTAAATTACCTTGGATACATGAATCCAGTAGGTTCTTCTCCCTCTAAGTACTCTTTCAGCATCTTTGGATGGTATTCAAGAATCTCTCGATATATTAGTTCTCTAACATCTTCCTTTGTCACCCTTCGTCTTTCAAATTCAAATTCCATTTTTGTAACTGGTTGAGCAGAAGGCTCTCTCTCAACCCTAGCCAAATTCTTGAAATATGGATCTGCAAGAGCCTAACAACTTGCAAAGCAATATGCACCATTAGAAGAGAAACATGCATTGCACAAGCTAAATCATAAAATGTAACATTTCATACCTCTTCAGCAGAAGGTCGATCCTTGGGATCAAATGCTAGCATTCTTTCCAGCAAACGAAGTGCAAGGGGATCTGCATTTGGGAATTTTTGGGTAAAAGGTATAGGCTTTTTCTTCCTCATGCTGCTTAAGTATCTACGAGCTTTCTCATTCCGTATCTATAGATAAAAATTCAAAGTTGGATCAAACAAAATTAATACCTAAAATATTTAACCTTTTTGCATTGTAAGAACAAATTTATCACGGTAAACTGACCCTGGCAATGCCTTCAGGAGATGGCGTTCCCAACAGATCAGTCATCAAGTCCAATTGATGGACTACATTTTTCCCAGGAAAGAGAGGCTTTCCAGTTAAAAGTTCCGAAAATATGCAGCCAATGCTCCATATATCTATTGCAGGAGTGTACTGAAAACAAGAAAGACCACACCACGCATGAGCGTCAGTAACAAAATTCATCATCCAAAAAGTTCTTCAAAAAAAAAAAAAAAACTGGAAAAGGGGTTGCTTCAAGGAATTGAAAGTGGGAATAACTCTTGCACCTTAGAAAAAAAGGATCCGCACAATTCAGGAGCCCTATACCATCTTGTTGCCACGTAATCCTATGAACAAATCAAAGAAGGCAATCAACAACAGAGAAATTGCTAGCAAACCTTCGCAAGTGCATTTCTACATGTTATTAGCTAGGCCTATAAGCAAGTACAAGTTAATGGGGTTGCAAATTTAATCAGAGAAACAGATAAGAAACTTACAGTCCAAAATATAGCAGTGGGGGTATCATTAAAGGCTACTCTTGCAAGACCAAAGTCACATATCTTGAGTTTGCAATCAGCATTTGCTAAGATGTTTTTTGGTTTTAGATCTCGGTGAAAGACATTTGCTGCAAAACCATTCATTAAAAGTTCCAAGTCAGAACTGGGAATATCATACAAGTTATTATAAGTTCTATATACAACCAAGTATGTAAAGAAAGTCATAAAATTGGTTAATGAGGTAGTAGCAACGTATGACCTGTGTGTATGTACTTCAAACCTCGAAGAAGCTGATAAAGGAAAAACTGATAATGTTCTGGTGTCAAATCATCATTTGCTTTAATAACCTGGTGCAAATCAGATTCCATGAGTTCAAAAACGACATATATGTCTTTGAATTCCCTTCTGGAAGGAGGCAACAAGATATGTTTGATTTCCACAATGTCTGGATGTCGAAGGAGTCTAAGAAGCTTAATCTCACGAAGAATGCGTGTGGCATCAGAGACATGTTCGAAAATATCATTAATCTTCTTAATAGCTACTTTTTCCCCAAGATGAGTGTCATATGCAGAGCAGACAACACCATAGCTTCCTTTGCCAATTACTTCCTCAATTCTATATCTGTTCCCTTCACCATATTCCGTGAAAAATTCTACATCCGCAGCTACCTGCAAGGACACATTCAAACATGCCATGAATGGTCAAAAAAATGTCAGCCGTAAAACCAATCAGCCGTGCTCGATGCAGTTTTTTACACCAACAGTTGGAAAATTATTAAGTGTCCGTGATATAACGATGCCTTATATCATCAAATATTAACGTTAGAGGTTCAAAATATAAGCCATGGAAGAGAAACAGTACCGAAGCAAACTTATTTGGAAATTCTCTACTTGCTAAACGTAACAAAGTCCAGTAAGTGCTTCAATTGGGCTTTAAAAATCCAGTTTTTCCATGCCATTACATTCAGTGACATATACAAACTTTTGTACTAGCAATGCAACCCATATGTTATGCAAGATAACTTTCCAGCTTTGACAGACAAATTCATGGTGAAACTATTTGGTTTACTTGCTCTACTATTCTAAATTAGGTACAATAAGTCAAACGACAGACATTAATACCTTGGAATTAAATAAAACATATCAGTATCACAATTTTCTATTTAGAAAATAAAATAAAAATAGATGAAATTTAGGGCCAAATCAATGTAAAATGTGCTGCAAATTAGTATAAGGGCATCAATTTCAGTCTCTAGCAAAAGGTACATGCATTTACTACATGATTGGGAGTTGCAAAATCCGGAAGTACGATATTTCGGAAGAAAATTGTAAAATCAGTGGTGGAAATCAGTAAAAAAAAATTGTGAGTAACTCAAGGCTAATTGGGAACAATCAATTTCTCAAAATTGACAGGGTAAAAGCTTCAGTTCATAGAGTATCCTTGACAGCCCACAATGTGAAAAGTTGCATGGATATGCAAATATGCATCTCTCCCTAACTTCCCACTATTTAGGTTATTTAAGCAATTTTTGGATCATAAACTATAAACTGAAGCTGCATCAAACACTTCTACCCATATTTCCAAAATAAAAAAATAAAAAAATAAAAGAAGAAGAAAAAGTCTGCACCACAGAAGCCAAGACATGAATAGGCCAAACCATTTGATCCCATCCACACAAAAAAACAGGTATTCCTCCCACAAATTACAACAAAATATCCACTAGGAAAGGTAAAAAAAATGTATGAACATACTTACATACATACATACATACATACATATAATGAGTGATACAGAGAGAGCAATCAGAAACTAGCAAAAAGACACATTTCTTGGGTCCTTATCCTTAATAACTAATTAGATCTTGTTTCACCCATAAATATCAGCTCTAATAAACAGAGATAGATACATATGAATATCTATGTATGTTTATGCATGGTAGAAATTAAAAAAATTACCTTTTTTCTTTGATCAGGCTGCATCTTAGCAGCAGAGCATCAAAACACTTCAAACTCCAAATCAAGAGCACAACCCAGATAGATCACAAGCTAGTATCAAAAAAAAAATTAAAAATTAAATCAAATATTCCAAAATCACAGTATTGCAAAAAACCCAAATTACAAAGAGCTTGAGACCCAATTCAAATCAACAAGTAGAAACCCCAACTTGGAACAGAAATGGAAAGTTGTTTGGATTGAGAGAAAGGGTATTGGTATGAGTGAAGTAATTGAACTGAAAATGAATCACAAGACAACAAAATGAAGCATATATCAAAATGAAGCATATATCAAAGTGTCAAATTGGGAGGAAGAGTGTAAATATTGTGGGTGAATGTAGCTTACTATGAAATGGGTAGCTGGAAAGGAGAGTTTCCAGATCGGGGATAGGCATCGGAGAGGTTTCCGGCACACACCCGCCGGCTAGCTCACGTTTGTGTTTTCAGGTGACAAAGCGACGTCGTACGGAGGAGCGTGGACTTGGTCAACAGGATTATACGAGGAGAATTATTTCCTCCCCGTACATATATATATATATATTTATGAAAGAGAAAAAAAATGGAAGAACTCTTGGGTTCTCTGCCTAAAGGTAGTTGAAGAAAAAGGGACGCAAAGAATATAGTTTGAGAGACAGAGAGAGAGAGAGAGAGAGAGAGAGAGATGATGGAAGAACGGTGAGTTGCTCTGCTTTGAGGGTCAGAGTGAGGAGCAACAGGAAAGGGACAAAAATATTTTATCGGTTTAACGAGTTATTTGGTAGGATAATAAATTTATTTTTAAATTTTTTATAAAAAAATTTATAGGAAAATAAAAAACGAGTTATTTGGTAGGATTATAAATTTATTTTTAAATTTTTTAAAAAATTTATAGGAAAATAAAAAAGTGAGATGATTTAAATAAGTATTATTATTTAATTAAATGTATTTATTTAGGAGGTGTCAAATAAATTTTAAATTATAGTAAATCCCTTAAATGATGAGTAATTTGAGAGGGTAATTTTTGGTAAAAATTGGGCCGAGCTGTGAGATGGACTTGGTGGCCCAAAATGCCAAGGACTGGGTAAAAGGCTGAAATGTTACTGCGGTCCGAAAGAGATAAAAGTCACTCCGGCCCGAGCTGTTGAAGTGACTCCGGCTCAAGAATGATAGATTTACTCTGGCTCTGCGGAGATGATTGACTTACTTCGGCTAAAGGAATGCAAAGCTGCTTCGGTTTTGACAACTTGAGTTAGTCCGGTCTTATAAGGTAGTCCGGTCATGATTGAATTCGGGATAGGTCGGTTGTAATGTTGTTACTCAGTGGATCGGTCCAAACACACCATGGTTCATGTATGAGAACCGAGATATGGTGTAACATGAAGAAGAACCGAACTACTGTTAGTATGGCCTACTTTGTGGCTCGGCATAGCCATTCTTACTTCGGTCGAATGGGAGTTCGGCCATAAAGAAAACCATCCCACTTGGTTTAAGCAGTGGGGGAGGGTGTAAAAGGATAAGCATTATCCTTAGGAGAATGAATCCTAGGAGGACTCTGCATGGAGAAGTACAAGTCCTACTAGGATTGTGCCACGGAAAACTTATAAAAGCCCACAAGCATCACCTTGGAGGAGGTAATTGAACATAATTCTTTCTGAGAACATAGAGCTTTGTCTATTTGTCAAGTTTTCTGACTTAGGCATCGGAGAGGTTTCCGGCACACACCCGCCGGCTAGCTCACGTTTGTGTTTTCAGGTGACAAAGCGACGTCGTACGGAGGAGCGTGAACTTGGTCAACAGAATTATACGAGGAGAATTATTTCCTCCCCGTACAATTGGCGCCGTCTGTGGGAAGAACAGACAAGAACAAAAACCTCTTGACTAAGCTTCTCCTTTTCTCATTCAATGGCACACATTGAAGACTTGCCGCAGTCCGCCGTCGACGGACTAACCCCAGAGGGGGGCGCAAGGTGCGAAGGATTGCCCTCTGTCCCTCCTATGGCGGATCTGGAGCCCCAACAACATAACTCCAGGAGGAGTGGCAGGGGAAGGCGGAATAGCAGCCCTCGACATTCGCCCCCGGTCTG